ACTCTGTGTATTCCTTCCATCTTTTCTTGATAGACATACATATGTATACATTATTATTGTTAAGTGCTGTCGAGTCAGGTCTGACTCATAGCGACTCTATATAGGGTTTCGGAGGAGCAGTTGGTGAGCTTGAATCACTAACCATGCGGTTCCAACTGCCCTTGCAGTTTAGCACATTAAACCACAGTGCCACACACACACACATATGTATATGTACATTTTTTTTCTAATGACTCTGACTCATGGTTAGCCAGTGAGGGTCAGAGTAGCACTGTGCGCCACAAGATGATCAGTTATTTTTCAGAAGTAGGTAACCAGGCTTTTCTTCAAAAGCCCATCTTGGTTGCTAACGTTTCAGTTAGCAGCTGAGTGTCTTAATTGTTTGTACCACTCAGGAACTCCTTATATGATGGTGAATCAAAAATTATCCACACTCTGGCTGTAGAATTTATTCTAATCAACTTTTAAAAAAGACAAATACATCCTTTTTGAACATGATCTCTTGCATTTCAGCACACTTTGTCTATCTGTCAACAAGCTTTTGTATTTCCTTATTTAAAAAAATGTTTTAGGCTGGGCTGTGAGCCACGATGCACCACTTCTTCATCAGAGGTGTATCTTCGTCCTCAAAGGGCTGCTTTCAGGTGACCAAACAGATGAAAGTCCAATGGAGTAAGATCAGGACTATAGGGAGGATGCTTTAACACCTCATAAGGAAGTTTTTGACAGTTATCAACAGTGTGGGCAGTGATGTGCAGATGTGCATTGTCATGAAAGATCAGAATGCCCTTGGATAGCATTCTTCTGTGTTTAATGTGAAACTGCGGCTTCAGCTCTTCAGTGAGCATCTCACTGTAATGAGCACTGTTGGCTGTTGAACGTGTTTTCCTGACAGTGTTCCAATGCTGACCACTGAGAATCCTAGAAAACTGAAGACATCAGTTTTCCAGCTCATGGTTGACTCTTAAACTTTTACTTGGTCGGTGATTGAGGATGTTTCCATTCCATGCTCTGCCGTTTACTCTCAGACTTGTAATAATGAGTATAGGTCTCATTACCAGTAACGATTTCCTTTTAGTAAACTTTTACCTTCCTTCAAGTATCAGTCCAAATTTTGTTTGCAGATGTCCACCTTCACACCTGCACAGCCATGACCTTGAACGGAAAGCAGTGATAAGACAGTTCAGCCAACAGAAGTTTTAATATAACTGGAGTGTGGGTAATTTTTGACTAGTTAAATGTGGAAAAGACTCTTCTTATTTCAGAACTTGAAGAGACATTGGAAATGACCTTGTCCAGCCTTCCACTTTTAGAGAGAGGAGACTAAAACCTCCAAGAGTGATGGTGACCCACTGGGTCCCCTACAGCAAATGTTAGAGACAAAGCAAGGATTAGAACTCATTCCTAAGTCAGAAGAGGGTGGCAATACCATTTTAACACATAGTGCAAGTAAACATTCGGTGAAGTAGATGTCGTAGCCTGTGTGTGGCCATGCCATGCGAAGGAAGGCAAGCTCCGCCAGACTCACCTAGTACAGAGTGGGTTATATTATGGGGAGGACTTGTTGTTGTTGTTGTTAACTGCCATCGAGTCAGTACTGACTCATAGCGACCTTGTGCACAGCAGAATGAAACACTGCCCAATCCTGGGCCAACCTCACTACTGTTGCCACGCTCGAGCCCATTGATGCTGCCATCCTGGCCTCCAAGGAGCACTTTGGCTGCACTTCTTCCAACATAGATCTGTTGGTTCTTTTGGCAGCCCATGGCACCTGCATTTCTTCATTGGCATGTGGGGCAATGGGATGGAAGGCTAGGGCCATTTGACCAGCCATATAACCACAGGAAGTGTCTCACTTGCCCGGTTGCCAAGAAGTCCACATTCCAGAGCAGGGTCAGCTGTGGCCTTGTAGCCCTTCCACCCCACCATCTCAGCCCTGGCAAGCTGGTCCCTTGCAAAGCTTACCAAATGTGGATGTGGGGCCCATCGGATCATGGCAGCTGACAGAGGGCTGTCTCTCTCCATGGAGTCGCCAGTCCGTGTGCTATCCCTTTGAGTTGTGATTATTACGTTCCATTCTTGCTATTTTAACCCTCACATCTGTGCTCAAATTTCATTACTTTCAGAATCCGATTGCTCATCATTTCTCTTTTGTCATTTCTATGGTAACCCAGAGCCCCTAATGGAGATTACAGCATGACCAGTCTGCAGTCAGTGAAGGATGATGTGTTCATTCACGTTTTTGATGAGATACTCTATGACGTGTTAGAGGTAAGTTTTGAGGAAGACGTCTCTCCTCATCTTCATATCCTCCACCCAAGATATAAATCCCAACCACATTTTCTACCTCTCTTGTGCTTGAAATGTTTGAAGCTTGACTTGTAGAAACAGGGAAAGCGGGGAAGAGAACAACTTGTTTTATTTGTAAGCTTATATCTGTTACGTACCAAGAATTATACATTGTCTTAATTGTTGTTGTTGTTAAGTACCGTGGAGTCGGTTCTGACTCATAGTGACCCTACACAGGGTTTCCGAGGCTGCAAATCTTTACAGGAGCAGAAAGCCTTATCTTTCTCCTGTGGAATGGCTGGTAGTTTCGAACTGCCGACCTTGAGGTTAGCAGCCCGATTCATAAATCCCCAATTTATTGATGAGGAAACTGAGGTTCAGAGAGGCAAGTGAGTCTCTAAAGTCACAAAGCAATTAAAGTAAATGAACCAGAATTTTTGAAATTAGATCTCTCCAACAGGGCCCTCGTTGTATTGTTGTTAAGTGCCATGGAGTTGGTTCCAACACATAGCAGCCCTTTATAGGGTTTCCAAGAAGCAGTTGATGAACCGAGCTTGGGGTTCAAACCAACCTTACAGCCCAGTGTTTTATCCCACTGTGCCACACCAGGACTCCCAAGAGGGTCCTGAACAGACCTAATTTCAAAAATTCTGGTTCAGTTACTTAATAGCTTTCTGAGGGTCCTGGAATCCTGATGTGGCTCTGTAGGATAAGCACTAGACTGCAAGATCAGTTTAAATCACAAGGTCGGCAGTTTACACTCACCTGTCACTCCTTGGAAACCTCTTAAAGGGTCGCTATGAGTTGAAATCGACTCAACGGCACTTAACAACAACAATGGGGCCCTGGTGTGGCACTGTAGGATAAGCACTGGACTACTAACTGCAAAGAAAAAAAAAAAAAGTAAGTCCATGGAGCTCTGGTGGTGCAATGGTTAAGAGCTTGCCTACTAACCAAAAGGTTAGCAGTTCAAACCCAGCAGCTGCTCTGTGGGAGAAAGCTTCTATAAAGATTTACAACCTTGGAAAGTCAGGGACAGGTGCCCTGTGTCCTCTAGGGTCGCTGTGAGTCAGAATCAACTCGAGGCAGTGGATTTGGTCTGAGTAACCTAAGTCCGTATGCTTTCAGCTGAAGTCTTACTGTTTCTTTGCTGCTGAATCAATGAAATGACCGTGTGGAGTTCTTACACTCTTGTTACTTCCCACCCCTCCTTTAGGATGACCGCGAGAGACAAAGTGGAATCCACACTCGCATTGAGAGACACTGGCTGGGCTGTGTGAAAATTCCGTTTAGCACAATATATTTCCAAGCCCGGGTAAGCATGAGAATAGAGAACTGCTCTATTCAGGCAAGGGTTACCCAGTCAACAAGGTAAGCACAGGCTTACTTGTATCATGCTAACTGGTAAGGGTTCACTGCACATTGGTATGTAATCCATTACACATTGGTGTGGCACTGTGGAATAGAACTCCACCAGAAGGTTGGTTTGCACCACAAGGTCGGCGGTTCAAACTTACCAGCGGCTCCTAGGAAACCCTATACAGGGTCTCTGTGAGTCGGAACTGACGCGACAGCCCTTAACAGCAACACACATTAGTAAAGACGCACAAAGTAAATCTGTGCTTTTGTTGCACATTGGGTAAACTGTTCACTACAGACTGGTAAATAGACACAAGTAAGTCTGTGCTTACCTTGCTAAATGGGTCTTCTGTCCCTGTCAGAGATTGTACATTTGAAAAGAGGCTTTGATCCTATAGGGAGATGCTGCCTGCCAGTATCAGAGCGCTTCAAAAAGTTCGGGGAAAAATTCCATTAGCTTTCAATTACATTTGTCCACGAACTTTTTGAAGCCTCCTCATTGCATCTTTGATACACTGAAGAAATTTAAATTTTCACTACAGATTAATGAGTAAGCACAAGTAAGCCCAGCCTAGCTTGCTTAGTAGGTCATCTGATACTAGCTCTATCCCTTTCTCCTGCTTTCTTCTCGGGGCTCTGCCCCCAACACTGAGCAAATATCTATGTAAAGTTCAATGGACTTCAGTCATATTTGCATGACTTACAAAACACCTCTCTGTCTTATAGTAGTTCATGTCTGACTGGTCCAATTTGAGACTGGTGTGCCTGCTCTAAAAATATAGCTAACACAACCTTTGCCATTTCGACATTTTTTTTAAGCATTTGATTCAAAGCGAAGAAGGTGGGACAGAGTGGAAATGTGTCAGAACGGCAACAGTGGAGTGGATAAGGACCTGAAAGGAACTGGTAGAAGACAATCAAGACAGTTTAATCAAAAGCATTCTGTTAATATTCCCATGAGACCTACCTATTTAAAACATGAAACATGATTAAAAGAAACATGCTCAATGCAGCCACCCCATTTCAAGAATCTGTGATTTTGATGAAGGAGCTTTGTTGGGTTAACAATCCATGAATGATTTAGCATTTCTAATCTGGGACAGGTAGGTAAAGACTCTGAAATCCCTCTAAATCCCAGTATCAGAGCCATGGCACCAGGAGGCTTTGAACCACAAAACTGTAGCTAATGTAACACAGCTATGGAGGAAAATGCTTTCCAGGAGCACATAGAGCAAATACTGCTGGAACCAAGAGTTAAAACTCATGTGTGAGAAGTCTGAACTGGTTGGAATTCAAGGGTCAACTGGAATTGCAACCCTCCATAGGACTTTTGGAGGTTAATGTGCCAGACTGCAAAGCCCTTTGAATGGCAAAATTGATGGTTCAAGCTCACCAGCTGCTCCTTGGAAACCCTATACAGAGTCGCTATGGGACGGAACCGACTCAACAGCACTTCACAACACAACAACATAGGACGTCTGGTGTGGATAAACTCTGGACTGTGAACCACAAGGTTGACGGTTAAAACTCACCAGGTGCTCCATGGAAACCCTATAAAGGGTGGCAATGAGTTGGAACTGACTTGACAGCACTTTACAATAACAAGAACAACAGACAAATGAGAAGTTCTTCCTATAAGAATCTATAGTCCTCACTTTGAATCAATTTCTTAAATGAAAAACAAAAATTGTTTTAAAGAACAAATTTTCTTGTGAAGCAAAATGCTTACGATGTTTAGAATTGCCGAGTTGCACATTTGACAGATGAATAGCCTTAACTGCACCTTGTTCTGCTTGACTGCTTCTAGAATTCACCACCACATCAGGCAGTTTGTTCTGTTTTCCTAAAGCTCTGTTATAACGTTACACTTGGATCTATGTACTTCCAAAATCTTCCTGGTTCCACTGTCTAGAGGTACACATGGCGAGTAGAATCCTTATTCAGTAATAACAACAGTAATGACTACCCTTCGACAGTAATAACATGAATGCTACAATCACTGTCGCTATGAATGACATTAATTACATTCATTCATTACACTGTGCAGCCATCACTGCTTTATACATCACCTCAATTAAACCCAACAGACTGGTGGCATTGGTGGTGATGATGGTGTGCTGTGGAGTCGTTCCGACTCACAGGGACCCTGTACAGGGTTTCCAAGGCTGGAAACATTTACGGGAGCAGAAAGCCTCATCTGTCTCCCGCAGGATGGCTGGTAGTTTCGAACAGCTGACAGTGAGATTAGCAGCCCAACTCATAACCACTAGCTACCAGAGCTCCTTAATGGCATTATTATCCCCATTTTATTGATGAAGGAACTGAAACCTTACCCAAATCACAAAATTCATAGCAAATTTAGATACAGTGCTTACCGACTTTCATCATGCTAATGAAAAGACACACCACTCTTCTATCAGTTTGTCACTTGTCTGTCAGTTTCTATTACTGTGGTGGTTTCTGTGTTGCTGTGGTGTTGAAAGTTATTCTAAATACCAGCAGGGCCATTTATAGTAAACAGGTTTCAGCTGAGCTTCCAGACCAAGCCAGACTAGGAAGAAGGAGAGGAAGACTACTTGTGTTCATTTTCACTGAAAATCTTATGAGCAGACTAGTGGAACTTTGTCAGATAGCACCAGAATATTGAAAACTGAAACATTATGAATAGCAACAGAGTATTGTCAGATACGGTGCCCAAAGATAATGCTCTCCCGTTGTTGTTTTTGTTGTTGCTGTTAACCTTGTGGTTCAAACCAACCTGGTAGTCCTGTGCTTATCCTACAGTGCCACACCAGAAGTCCTTGCCAATTGTAAGGCACTCAAAATAGGACTGGAGAAGAGCTGTCTCCTAAAAGCAAATCTCGCAATGATGATGTGACTGCAGTAAAGGTTTTGGGATCTTCATTTGCTGATAGGGAATATCTCAAAATGATAAATAGTTGTAAACCTCAACTAATAGTCAGAACATGGAATGTACCAAGTATGAATCAAGGAAATGTGGAAGTTTTCAAAACTGAAATGGAACACATAAACACCAATATCCTAGGCATTGGTGAGCTGAAATGGACTGGCATTAGTCATATTGAATCTGACAATCATATGGCTTACTATGCCGGGAATGACAAATTGAAGAAGAACGGATTACATTCATCAAAAAGAACATTTCAAGATCTTGAGGCATAATGCTGTCTGTGATAGGATAATAGCCACACACCTACAAGAAAGATCAGTTAATACCACTATTATTCAAATTTATGCACCAACCACTAAAGCCAGTGAAGATGAAATTGAAGAATTCTATCATCTTCTTCAGTCTGAATTTAATCAAACATGCAATCAAGATGTATTGATAATTACTGGTGATTGGACTACAAAGGTTGAAAACAATCAGTAGTTGGAAAATGTGGCCTTGGTGATAGAATAGGTATAGATCACATGATAGAATTTTGCAAGACCAATGATTTATTCATTGCAAATACCTTTTTTAAACAGCATAAAAGATGACTATACACATGGTCTGACACTGAAGAATCAACACTGAACTGCTAACCACAAGTTTGGCTGTTCAAACCCACTAGCTACCTATTGGAATTCTTATACAGGGTCACTGTGTCAGAACTAACTCAAAAGCACTTAACAACAATATACATGGACCTCAACAGATGGAATGCACAGAAATCAGATTGCCTGTATTAGTGAGAAGAGATAGTGGGCAAGCTCCCTACCATCAGCCAAAACAAGGCCAGGGTAGACTGTGGAAGAGACCATCAATTGCTTATATTCAGTTTTAGACTGAAGTGGAAGCAAATGAAAATAAGTCCACAAGAGCCAAGATATGACCTTAAACATATCCCACCTGAATTTAGAGATCATCTCAAAAACAGATTGGATGCACTAGGCACTAATGACTGAAATAAGAGTTGTGGGATGACATCAAGAACATCACAGGAAGAAATCAAAAGGAAAGAAAGAAAGAAAGAAAGAAAGGAAGGAAGGAAGGAAGGAAGGAAGGAAAGGAAGGAGGGAGGGAGGGAGGGAAGGAAGGAAGGAAGGAAGGAAGG